GATGGGTCTGGAATTATCGTATTTACTTTTGTTAGTTTTCTTTTGTTTCTTGAACTTGGACTTGTAATGTACGATTTTCCTGCCTCTGTTTGTTTCTTCGAAGTGTTTATCATTCACTTGTCTAATCTGACCTGTTTTCTTAAACGGGTTGGTCACCTTACTTTGAGTGATTGCCTGTATTTCGTATCAACATCATAACTATGTCTGTTTTTGTTCAGCTGGTCAATCTTTTAAATTTTGTTTTGTTGTACATTAAAATCAGGGCTACCTGCGTATAGAAAAATGTCTGCCGGAGTTCTTTTGGTGGTATTGTGCCTTGTTTTGTGATTATAAACGTATAGGATCGTTTCAAATTTTGTGCATCGGTCTTCTATATTTTGTTCACTACCAATAATTCTCAGCTTCTCATTTACAGTTTTATGAAATCTTTCTATATCGGATACACCGTTTTTGCTTGTTGTGATGGTTATATTTACGCCTTCTGATTTTAACCAGTTTTGCAATGCTATGCACATAAACGCTAAATCTTTATCTGCTTTTATTTCTTGCGGTTTTCCCATGTCATTAAATATCTTCATGAGGGCTCTTTTTGCTTCCAGCCAATCTCTACTTTTTACTTCGATTAGAGTAGCAAATTTCGAGTAGATATCTATGCAAGATAGGAAGATTTGGTTCCCTGTTTAAGACTTCGGGTGTCGTTTCGAATACAAGTTTCGTATTCCTATGTTCAGTTTTAGCTATATTGCAAACTTCGCATTCATTGATAATGTTCTGAATGAGTTTCTGACTGTCAGGATAGTAATATTCTTCTTTAAACCAATTAATGGTTTTTTCTATACCTGGGTGTAAAAGTTCTTTATGTTTCTTTAAGATTAAATCTTTAAATTCTGCATACGTCAAAATATCAGTTAATTTCTGAGTACATCGCAGCAATTTTGTGAAACAATTAGGGCTTATAATTTCGATATACGCCCATTTGGAAAATTAATAGTGCTTTTCTTTGTGCAAAAATATTCCTTGATGAGGTTTTTAGCCAACTCGATCGTCATTTCTTTATATGTAATTTTAATTTTTAATTTTTGAAAGTAATGACTCGTGTTAACTGTGTCTATTTCTCCTTTTACTACTTCTATTTGTCTAGAAAAATAGTTTAAGGGTCTTTCGGTGATGGAGATGTAATTTAAGTTATCTTCTGCAGCGCTATGGATTCTTGCATCCATGCTATCAGCAATTTCGCCAACCATGGCTTCTTCTATTACTGTGCGGGAAAGAGCATCTGCTACATAATTTTCTTTGCCTGGAAGATACTTAATTTTGTAATCAAATTCATTCAATTTGATTTTCCACCTTTGTAGTTTCATGTTAGGTTCTTTAATGTTGTTAAGCCACACCAGTGGTTTGTGATCACTTAATATTTCAAATGGCCTTCCGAATAGATATGACCTAAAATATTTAGTTGCCCAAACTATAGCTAACAATTCTTTTTCGATAGTAGCATAGTTTGTTTCGTGTTCGTTTAGCGTTCTGCTTGCGTAACATACGGGCTTATGGTTTTGTGACAAAACAGCTCCAATTGCTATATTGCTAGCGTCAGTTGTTAAAGAAAAGGGTTTTGAGAAATCAGGGTAGATTAAAATCGGGTCTGAAGTTATCAATACCTTTAGTTTTTCAAATGACTCTACATAATCTCTGCATTTGGTATCGATTACCGCTCCTTTTTTCAACTTTAGGGTCATAGGTTTAACTACCTTAGCAAAGTTAGGAATGAACTTGCGATAGAATCCACATAATCCTAGAAATGATTTTATTTGTTTAGGAGTTTTTGATAATGGGAAATTTGTGATTGCGTTCGTTTTGTTTGGGTTAGGTCGAATTCCATTAGTAGTGACAATATGTCCTAGGAATTCTGTTTCCTTCCTCATGAACTCACATTTATCTAATTGCAATTTTAAGTTAGCGTCCTTAGTCGACTACTAATCTGAATTTCGGTTTACCTGAGGCGTCTGCCTTCTTTGGAACTACCCAAATGGGTGAACAATAGGGGGACTTAGATTTTCGGATAATGCCCTGCTCTATCATTTCCTTAATTTGTTTATTTACCTCCTGATCAACACTCTGGGGGTATTTGTATGGTTTGCGATAAACCGGATCTTCATGTTGAGTTTGGATAACATATTTAATGGTACTAGTGAAAGTCAAATTCTCACCTTCTCTGTACTGAATGTCTCTATATTTGTATAGGACCTTCTTTAAACATTCTTTTTCTTCAACATTGAGGTGTTCGAGTCTAAACTCATTACATTCGCGTAATTCATTATTGATCGCGAAGTTAATTGTTTCGTCAGTAATGGATGTGAGATCGGATTGCATTGCATCTGCATCCTCTGCATCTTTACTGTTTTTGGGAGTAAGGCACTTTAGGGGTGCGGTCTTCTCCACTTTTTGTTCGATTTTGGTGTTAACCTTTTTGTCTTTTGGACTGGGACACTTTTTTAGTGTGGTCTCGCCCTTTTTGATTGGGTCAAGGCACCTAGTTGATGCGGTCTCGCCCTTTTTGATTGGGTCAAGGCATCTAGTTGATGCGGTCTCGCCCTTTTTGATTGGGTCAAGGCATCTAGTTGATGCGGTCTCGCCCTTCTCATCCTCGTATCTGAATTTATAGGTTTTTGAACCTAAGGTTACAGTCTCCTTTTCATAATCAATCTTTGCTTTGGTATCTACTAAGTATTGACCAACTAACTAACAGGAAATCATAATTTTGAGAAAATTTGTGAACATAGAATTTTTGTTCGAACGGACATATTACATGGGGCTTAATCATTATACTTTTCGTTAGTTTTATTGGGCCCTTAATTGTATATACCGTGAGGTTTTCTTTATTTTCTTTTAAATTCGCAAAATTTTCCATAATGATGTTAATGGATGACCCTGTGTCTATCATACCTTTGTAAAGATTGTTTTCATAATTAATTGGATTGATACTTCCTCTTCTCCCGTATCCGAGATTTCCGAGGCAGTTTGATGAAAATTTACGTCTACCTCCATTTTAGTCTGTCCACTACTACTTTCTCTTTGTCTTTTAACGGGACCATTATTACCCGGGTTGTGTGAAGTAGAGGGCTGATAGTTTAATGGGTTATTCTGCCTACCTTGATTTAACTTGTTCCTAAAATTGTGATAAACTTGTGGGTCAACAATAGTAGGGTTATTTCGATTTCGATTCTGGGTATTTCGATTCGAATTACTGGCTTGATTATTATTTTGAGACGTAGATGAATAGTTAGAATTTGCGTTATGTTTGGTATTGTAATATCTTTGATTATTATTTAAATTTTTATTTCCCTTATTCCTGCGATTATAATCGTGAGATTTTTGAAAATACATGTCTTCAGGATTTGCGTCATAAAGACCAAGTTCCATAGTGGCTTGTTTTAACTTTGGGATAGTGTCAATATCCTTACGAGCCAACGACATGTACATTCTATCTGGTAATTTCTTATCGATTGTAGACTTGATAGTCCATTTTAACATATCGGAATAATTGCTCTTAACTACGGGATTATATTCTAGTTCTAACTTATCAAAAATATTACGATGCTGTGCTTCCAGCATCTGGATGAACTTACTAATGCTCCCTGAATATGGCGTGTCCTCCAGTTGTTTTATCAGCGTCACATATGGTCTATGATGCTTAAATGAAGTGGAAAGGGCTTCTCGGATCTTCATCCATGATGTTGCTCCTGCTTGGATTACTGCTTCTAAGGCGTTGTCCACTATTACTCGTTTTATAGCGCCGTAGATTATATGAGCTTGCCGGTTATCTTGTGTTGGGTACAGGGTCAGCAGTTGATCAACCTGGTTGATGAATATTGACAGCTTTCCTGGTGGGCCATCGTAATAATGCAGCTCCTTGATTTGGTTCAGCAACTGATTTAAGTGTAGCTCGGAGAGTTGTTGCACTGTTGCCATTTTTAGTTTTGTTTTATTTAAAAAGTCACAGAATTAAAAATTCGGATTTGAACTTTATTTCTGACCGCACGGGATTTTCGTTTGGTTGTATTAAAAGTCACAGAATTAAAGATTCGGGTTTGAACTTTATTTCCGATCGCACGGGATTTTCGATTTAGAATACTACTTGCACGTAGATTCTTTAGCGGATCAATTTTTTAATCACTATTTCAATTCGTTGGTCTGGATAGCTAGTTGTATAGCTTATCCTTTAAGTTGACCAATACCGTACTGAAAGGATTATTTTAATTTTTGATCCTACTGGCTGCGACAATTAAATACTTGGTTATTCGTAAGTTAAAAGAAATTATTTTTATTTTTATTTAACCGAATAAGTTACAAGATATTTTTATGAGAAGAACACCGACCGAATAATTTCGTGTCTTAAACTGAACTCTGCTTATTGAACTAGGATGGGTGACGATCAAGCCTCGGTTTCGAGCTTTCGTGGATCTTGATTGATTTCGAAAGATTCTAAGAGAGAGCTTAATTGATTCTTTAATTTCTCTTGGATTCAAGTGCATTCGCTCTTGGATACAAGTGCTCTTTTGAAATTTGATTATTTTGTTTTCGAGCTAACGAGTCCGAACTTTGAACGTGTGAACGCGACAAATAGGAAAGGATGTTTAGACAATAAAATTGTTTAGTCTATTACTGGGGACTTGTGTTTATTCTACTGTCGAACTCGTGTGGAGTTGTGGTATCCAATGACTGTATGGTTATCATTCGATGATGATTCATGGGTGTACATATATGTGGAATAAGTAGGCATGTGCTAAAGTCTATGGGACTGTGGATATGTCACTATATATATATTTTTTTATTTATATATATGGTATATTATTTATAATATATGAATACAAACTCTAAACTTAAATTCAATGCAATTCAACACTAAAACGTTTTAATATTTTCCTACTTTGTCGCTTCGCTAAATATTAAATTAAATGCAATATTATATAGCAATTTTAATATATTTTTGTTTTTAATATTAAACACAGGTTTATATGTATTATGGTGTAACTAAATATATTAAAATAGAGGCTGATTAACATTCCAGTAAGTATATTTATATTTTATTTTAGACAAATTAATTACAAATAACCATTTTAGAACATGATGTACGATTTAAGGGGCTCTTATTCTGCACCACATGAGAGTGATTCTTCAATTAGAAATAGGCACAATCGGCCTTTAAATGGTACGTATTTTCTAAACTTTTAGATACCAAACAATTTATAGTAACACAATTAACCAGATTATTTAGATGCCTTGATCTTTGTTATTTTGATAATTTCAATGTTGACGAACATATTCAAGTAAATATATTTATAAATTTTTTTTTGCGAATTTTTAAGGGTACTGTAAAAAAAAATAGAAACTAAGAGTATTTCAATGACAGCCACAGGATTTGGTGGTTCGATCAAGCCATTTATATATGTATGTTCATATGTACATATTTAGTACGTATAATATAAATAAGTTTTTCGAGATAGCTCTAACCCTGAGAGACTATTTTGCGTATAAACTGGCAGACGGACGAACGGACATGGCTAGATTAATTCGGCTAGTTATACTGTTAAAATATAAAAACCTGTTCATAAGGTAAGATAAAATTGACGAAGATACCTCTAACTCAATTTATGACGTAAATTATTGTGACTATTAATAGTAACAATTAGCTGGCGTCAAATCATCTGACCGAAATCATAAACCCTTTTCAAGGGTATACAAATAAAACTATTGACTCAGGTCCTTTAAAAAAAGTACTAGATCAACATATTATGCATATTTTGTCGTTATTTTTCTGTCGCAACTAGTTAACGCATGCAACAATAAAACCACTGCGTCATGTACTTCTTTTTCAAAAATTTAATAAACATCCATTATATTACGTATCAGAATACAAGAGGCTTATATATGTAGTAAGCTTCCTAACTTGTATTCTGATAGTTTTTCGTTTGCTTCTTTATTTTTTTAATTTCAAAATCCGAACTTCGTGCCAGCGAAGGGCAAAAACGCCAGAGCAGCAGAGAGCTCGGCGGCAGATGGCTGCCGAAGGCCTCTCTGCCCGCCGACAGGGAAGTCGGCTTTCAACAGCCCAGGAGGGCAGACGTGCCTCTCGGAGTCGGTATTCAGCAGCCCAAGAGGGTAGACGTGCCTCTGAGAGTCGGTTTTAAACAGCGCAGGAGGACAGACGAACCTCCGGGAGCCGGTCCGCAACCGGAAAACAGGAGTCGGGCTCCACGCGGCCGGAGGGGTGCCCTGCCTCCTGGAACCGTCACCGCAAGGAGCCAGAGTCCCGGGCGACCCAGGCTCAGGTCAAAAACGTGGCCAGCGACGACAACAACGACACCCATGCGGTCCGCCACCGTGGAAAGGCGGTCCATGAAGAACCACTAGGAGCGGGTGAGCTGGACCTTGGCGCGATCCTCGTTGCGGGGTTCATGTGCGAGAAAGAGGTAGGAGTAGTTTTTCCGGTAGGGATCTTAGGGAATAAACAAATATATGTGAACGCTACTATGGTGTCCCAGACCCCCTTTGAGAAAGCGACCCACGGTTGACGGGTCCGCGTCCAAACCGGGTTCCTCTCCGGGCGTAGTGGGCGGCACACGGGTGACGTGGTCTCCATGCCTATGCCCGGAAGTGTCTTTCCACCCAGGCGAGTCCGGCAACCCCGATACCGGGGTGACGGGGTCGGGGAAGCGCCTTAATCGAGTTGAGGGACGGTCGCCACCCGGTACCGGGGCCGGCCTAACCACAACCCGAGCGAGCCCTCCCTCCCTGGCCGAGGAACACGCCGCCGGTTGACGTGGCGTGGACCGAAGCCGAGCCGCACATGGTCACCGGTGGGACAGGCGTCGGTATCCGGGTGACGGGCCGACACTGAACCGCCGGAAAGCCGGTGCGGAGCATCCCCTTTCCCCCTTTACTCCTTCTTTCCTGTTCCCCGTCTCGGCCTCTCGGGCCCGAAATCCTGCCTGTCCCCGTAAATATAAATATTTCAGTGGAGGATCCTAGCCCGGCTTTGTTTATACCGTGATAAACATCCTTACACTTGATTTTGATTTGTCTAGGTTTGCTTATGGCGCTATGACACAGTAATGCAGTTTTCATTAATTAGAGATTCATTAAAACCTTGAAAGAGACAGTTATATGTGTTACTGATTTAAAAGGTACCAACAGACTTTCAAACTGGTTCGGAGTCATTCGTAGTATGTGTTTATGTATTCTCGTTTCCTCGTCTAGCAGTTTCGGCTGTAATTTATGTGAATAGCCTAAAGTACATTTTAACCCTGATATTTTATGTAGTTAGATTAATTTTTTAATAAAATCTACCTTATTAGATAGGCTATATCTCCGTCATTTGTGAATATTTTTTATTCTTCCAACAACTATTTTCTACTTTAACATAAATACTTTGATATTTCAATCAAAATAAAGTTGTATTTTTAATAGCTTTGGCCAAACATTATCTACCTGATTTTTTGATTGCTTAGGATGTTCTACAGTGGAGCAACAATAAGTGTATAAGGATATTTGTACTCGGTATTGAGCAAACATAGAAAGTCAGTAATTTCACCTCATAAATGAAGGTGATACCTAGCATAGCTCTGCGGTTGAATAAGGAAAGCAAGTTAATTTGAGGAGTCTACTAGAATAGGACGGCAACATTCGGTCTACGTCCCACAATACGAGACAATGTCATTAGTTTGCATTTTAGTTTAGGCGACACCATGTTTACAAATTATTAAGATATGTTTTTAAATCCGAAAAGCTTGACGTCGTCCTCGTAACTGTGAAAATAGGCAGAACTTTAAGCAGTTCATTTTAAAATATTGTAATCAATAAGTGACCCAAATAAGTTGCATGCGAGACTACAGATATCCATTCAGATAACCTAAAATCCATTTATGAAGATCAATTGGATTATATATCCTTGTAGTTGTTATAAAACCCTTTATAATAAAGAAATTCAGTTCGAAAAGATTAGTTGTTGTTGATATACGCTTAATAACTTCATGTTGACATGAAGAAATAACTGATCTACAATGGTATTACAAATGAAAGGTAATGACATTTTTGGAACGTTTTGGGATGGTCGACAAATTAGGAATTCCTCTATAGTTGTCCATAGCTACAGACACGTCAGTGCACATGTATAAATAGGAACAATTAAGTTCAGATATAAAATTATTTATTAATTGGCTGTACGGTCAAATATATTCTGAATTAACGAGATTCACATCGACCGTAGGAAGATTGGGATCTTGGAGTTGCGTCGACGGCGCCACTAGCTAAACTAACTCTCGCCGGATCTATAACAAAACAAAGATTAGGCAATCGCTCTAAGGTGTTTCGAACAAGGTTGACTTGGAAAATGTGGAAAAATCAAGTTATTAAATTATTTTGTGTTGCATTAGGAGGGTATTAGTGGAATTATTTTAGGAAACGAGAAACGATAAATGATCATGATCAGGTAATGAAAATGAAGCTGCCATTGACAGATAGCTTCACACAAAGATATTAAACATCACCATCACGTCTGCAAGCTAACTACATAGGCCTCTTGGATTTTAATAGGAAATTTAAAATAGGACACCCTTGGAGGATATAATACCGGGGCTCTGAGGGGTCATTATTTAAAACCCCCAAGGATTAAAACGAATGTAACCGGCGGTACGGTTACTCTATCGGCAATTTTAGATTCGATATCTTATTTATCACTAAATTTAAGATTGCTTGGATTGAATCCAATACTGGGGGGCTGTGCCGAGATAGGCTGCTGTTGAGAGCCTACAGCGGGTTGTTGGAGTCCGACTACATGCTGTCTGCCAGTTTTCTTTCTGGTAGACTCATGTAAAAGCTTGAAGCCTTAAAAATATCATGAGTTTTGTGAAAACTCGATAATACCTCCTTAAAACTACCCTTGGCTTGCCGCGTAAAACACAAATTTTCACATCGCGACAGGTCCTGCAGCAGTGGCGCGAGCCAATGATTTCCATCGTCCGAGCACTTGGCATGCATGATGTTGTTGGCATGATGTTACGGAAATGAGAGGCAGTTCTAACTCTATTCTATACTCGCAAAGAGGGCATGTCCACCGCGGGGGGTTACAACAGAGATATTTACCGCAATAGAGGCTATGCTTGAGGTAATAATAATAATATTAATTACTTACAATACAGCTACAACCGCAATAATGTTTACAATAACCCGGATTATGGAAACTACGTGAAAGTTGTAGATTTAAAACCGTAATAAACCAACAAGAAAGTTCGTTCAACATGCAAAATGGTAACATAAGATTCGCAAAGGGCACGTCGGAAAACCATAAAACTCCCTTAAGTATTCAAAAGACATAGAAAAAATGTATACTATTAATCCAAATCTTAATATAGTTAGAAATCGAACAATTTTAATTAATACCGGAACCGAAACCCACGTAGTTAAATCAAATTCGGATAAACTTATATATTATTCAGAAATAAAACAGATTACACGAATCAAAAAATACTTTACGAGTAACACTTCTCAAATAAGAGCTGAAAATTCCATTATACCTCAATAATCAATAATCCATTTCGCAGGGATGGAATATTTAGCATGGTTTTACTAAAATTTTCAACTGCTAGTTAGATTTAAAACATACAATGATTGCTTCATAATTGGACCTAATAATATTGAACAACCACTCTTTATCTTATCCCTAAAAACAACCAACTTTTTCCTTATTTGGGAAGAATCACTTATGCCAACAATCTTTAAGTTGTCGGCCATCCCAAAACCTTTTGAAAATAAAATAACTCTTCATTTGCAGCACTTTTATAGATAAGTAATTTCTTCATATCATGGATTTATTAAGCGAACATGAAAAGCAATATAATATATTGAGCTCTTTTCCTATATTATGAAGGGTTTCCATAAGAACTTTTAAACATATGTAATCTATACTGATATCAGTAAAGCATTGGACTTTTCTTTTGCAGGCTGACGACGTCAGGCTTTGCGTGTAATGTAAGGACGTTGCGTGCCAGTCGGATTTACAATCAGATTTTAATCATTTTCAAACATGGTGCCGCGTAAACTTATTAAATTTAAACGGCTCTATATGCAAGATAACGACGTTCTGTCGTGTCTTTCCCAAGCTTGTGACATACACCCTTAACAGCTGATCCCAAACATGTATTGCACTGTATACATGTGCATATCAATGTGTTGTTGTTTTGATTTGAATGCCTCTATATTGTTATTATACCCTTGCAGGGTATTATAATTTCAGTCAGAAGTTTGCAACGCAGTGAAGGAGGCACCTCCGACCATATAAAGTATATATATTCTTGATCAGGATCAACAGCCGAGTCGATCTAGCCATGTCCGTCTGTCCGTCTGTCCGTTTCTACGCAAACTAGTCTCTCAGTTTTGAAGGTATCTGAATGAAAGTTTGTAGTTAGCCTTCTATATACTTTTATCGTATATATGTCGGAACGGGCCGGATCGGACGACTATATCATATAGCTGCCATAGGAATGATCGGATAATTTTTACAAAAAAAATTATAACATTTTAGTTTTCAACAGAATTTGATCCAATTTGAGATTATTATTATTCTACAATTTTGTGTAAAATTTTATGAAAATTGACGACTATATCATATAGCTCCCATAGGAACGATCGAGAAATTAATTCAATTAAAAAGTATAACGTTCTCAGTTTTCAACAGATTTTCATCAATTTGAGATATAGCCGTTTCATATTATTCTACAATTTTGTGTAAAATTTTATGAAAATCGGACTAATATATCATATAGCTCCCATAGGAACGATCGAGAAATTTGAGAGGAATGAGAATGGCGGTGGCTGTTGTCATATAGCTCCCATAGGAACGATCGAGAAATTAATTCAATTAAAAAGTATAACATTCTCAGTTTTCAACAGATTTTCATCAAATTTAGATATAGCCATTTCATATTGATTGTACAATTTTGTGTAAAATTTTATGAAAATTGGACGACTATATCTATAGCTCCCATAGGAACTATCGAGTAATTTATTCAATTAAAAAGTTAACATTTTCAGTTTTCAACAGATTTTCATTCAAATTTGATACATAGCCATTTTATAAGAAATAAAAGAAATTAATAAAACTAAAGATTATAACTTCTTCAGTTTTCACCAGATTTTCATCAAATATAAGATATAGCCATTTTATTTTAATCTACAATTTTGTGTTATAAAAAAACCGGACTACTATATCACATAGCTGCCATAGGAACGATCAAAAATGAATACAATTAAAAATTATAATGTTTTCAGTTTTCAGCAGATTTTCATTAAATTTAAGATATATCCATTTTATATCAGTCTTAAATTTTATGTCAAATTTTATGAAAATCGGACGACTATAATAATATAATATCACATAGGTGCCATACAACATCGTTAGATGTGGAGCAAAAATGCAAATCTGTGAATGTAAAACTGAAAATATAATATGTATAGGTGAATGAAATGAAAGCAGGTTTACTTCATTGTTTTTTAACATTAATATATATATTTTATATTGTATGGAAGGAATCCAGGAAGTCATCGAAGTTCTATCTGCAAGGGTATATAAACTGCCGAAGTTAGCTTCCTTTCTTGTTTTTATTTATTATTATTTGTTTATTTATAATTATCAAAATCGTTGCTGTTTATTACTTATGACATACAATTCTAAACTAAGCTTGTTTATTCTGCCTATCAGCTATCACAGTCCATTTGCAAAGCTTAAGAAGATCTAAAAGATCGAAAAGATCTACCTGATGCACATACATTAAATTTGTATATCAAACCATAATAAGTAATCAATACTTTCATTTGTGCACTTATTACGTTGTTCCACTATAAATTTCCTAATATTTAGTTATTTAAAAAAATATTTTTATAAACCTTTATGTGGATTTTTCAGACATTAAAAAATATAACAGAAAGCTCAGATGGAGCTGTTAATTGATCGTCTTCTTTAATCATTAACGATATGCTATTATCCCAACTAGATGCCTTTGCAATATATCCACAAAAATATCTAGTCGAGGTTAATTCAATGGGTACATTATTGGTCAAAAAATTATCTATATTTTGTAAAAGTACCTCTCATTGTCTTAGACAATGTTAATTTGAAGTGCGCATTTCATGCTACTTTTGTTAATTAATACTCTGCTATTTAGGCAATACAAGTAATCATTAACTCTTTGGGCAAATGCAGCAGTAGAGGCTGCCACTTCCGAACTATTTCGATGGATCTGCTTGTTTGCATAAGCTAAAATCTATTTGGATTAACGTGACCTCTTGTTAAGGGGGAGCCTGCTTAAGAGGCTTCAAAAAACCGTATTTTTTTGCCTAAATCTCTTCATAAACTATCCAAGATGTGTCTATAAATTTCAGAAAAAATGCAGAATATTTTCGGAGATGCAGAAGAAGTAGTGAGCAAGCGTCAAGCAAGTATCCGAACGAAACGAAAACTTTGACACGCGATTTCTCGGATTTCAATTTTGATGATTTTTTCAAATTGGCGGGCAAGATAGGAAAAAAAGTAAACGTTTTATCGAATCAATTCAAAATGCGTTGTATTCGGGATTAAATTCTCTTCTAGGTGAACCTAAAATACCGTAAGAAAGTTAATATTAACCAGAATTTTAAAATGATCTGAAATGATTGAAAAAAAATTCATTTTTTTTTATCTGAGAAATATTATTGAATTTTTCATTTTTTGTTAAATTTTTATGGTTCACCTAGGAATTACTCTATTGAAAATTAAAAATTGAATTTTATGTTTCAGATGAAAATTGCAACCAGCATCTTGCCCGCCACACAGAAAGTGCACGCTGGAGGCGCCTCCGTAGATTTCGTAAAACATGAAGAATATATTATGTATGATGATAAAAAAAATTTGAGAAGACTCTTGAAAAATATAAGAAATAAAACCATAACATTTTAATTTTAATCAGACATTTCTTTCCTTCCCAAAAAAATTCTCGAAACTATCGATTTTTTTACGCCTCTATAGCAGGCTCCCCCCTTTATTTAATCGTTCTCGTTACTGATCTCTGCTCTAATTCGTATACTAGAGGTGGAGAACTATCGATAGTCGTCGCCATCGATAGTGAGCGATTATTTTCTCAAACCATCGATAGTGTCGATAGTACTATCGGTAGTGTTATGCTTTTTAATTTTTAGATGTAAAAAAAGCTATAAAATGAAATTTGAACAAAACTTTATTATATTTTTAACTCCTTAAAAATAAAAAATTAATTAATTTATTTAGTTTTTTGATTAGGGATTGTATAAAAAGTACATCGTCGAACTGTGTATTCGAGCGGAAAAGATGTACAAAACTAAATTCTTTTTTAAAAAGAGCATTAGGAGATTTTTAATTTCAGCTATACTTTAGCTTTTCACTATATTTTGGCGTTCCACTTTCAACTTTATTTTTTCTTTGTGATGTGATAAGCCGCGTGCAAAACTATCGATAGTGCAGGGCTGCCATCGATGGCGGTGCTATAGCGCAAAACCATCGATAGTGTCGATAGTGCCATCGATAGTTCTCCACCTCTATCATATACCTCTCGTATAATATAGAAATCAACTATTCCGCGAGGGGTTTTAAACTTAGCTTTTAGTAAGTTATTTCTTATAGATTTGAAAATATGCGGAGTAAGTGAAAAAGTAAAGTAAGGTTTTTCAACCGTGACTTCAAGTAACTAGGTACATTTCTATTGTTACCTCCTTGATCATACACACCGCGTCTTAGTTTGAACCCATTATATTCAGCAATATTAATGTTTTTATATTTAAGGCTTATTAAGCCATTCACCTTTTATATTACTTTATTTATTTATATTTCATATATTTTAATATAAATAAATTTTCATTTTTTTAAACCGTATAACAAATACGCATTTTATTTGAGCGTTCAAGTAAATGCTCTAAGCCATCAATTACGTCAACTGAAAAATTTTACGTTAATTTGTTTTATTGAAACTTCATTTTGGTTATTATGTTAGTTATTATGGATCCTTTTTTAGATTCAGCCATTTCCTTTACAGTATCTTTGAGGGCTGAGTATAAACATTCGTTGTCTCCTAGCTGGTATTTTTTTATGCTGTTCCACTTTTGTAAAGACGCTGGACTGGGAAGGTTTAATTCCGAAGAGTCTCTTAAAAACATACGTTGAGGTTGACCTGTAATAAATGCTCTGAGCGAAAAACTTTTCGAAATCATTTCATCTCATATTTGTTTCTTTTAAAAGTATTTTGACAATATCTTTTCGTTTCCAGTTAAATTAATTTGTCATTTTCAGAAATTAGGTTTTTTTTTTATGGCACTGACGACAAATTTCAGCAGGTGACTTTGAGCGGTGTCTTTTTAGTGGAGACAAGCTTACAGCATTAAAATCTGTTTCATCACAGCTGTAATCTTTACTTAGATATTTTATCCCAATATCATCTGTTTAGAAATGATCTTGGTATAAAAACAGTGATGAAGTGTTCGCCATAGAATCCTCACTAACATTGGAAATGTAAACAATTTAAGGGCAGGAAAATCGTGCTTAGATTTTTGGGAGTGGGGCAGGCTGCACTTGCCTTTGGGCTGTCATAAGGACTTTTAAACTTAACAACAAATAATGCTAAATCTCAATAACAATAACAATATCAATAACAAGCAGTGAACTTTCTCCCCGTGACCAAAACTGATGTTTTTTTAATTTTACCTTTCCGGCACTGAAATAATTAAACATCTGCGGCTAATAATTATCTATATTAACAAATAGTTCGACACCCGCCAAAAGATACAGAACTTGAATTTAAGCACGCCCGGAAGTCACCGCGATTATTTTTCCCAACTTTTTTTTTTTAACTTAGCCGCCGCAGCTGCCGTGTTGTTGTTCTTCCTGTTTGTTTCTCTTGAGTGATGCACATATGCACTGCTTTGCCGAAGGCACTGAGGCTCTTTTCTTTGAACAGAAGCCAAGTTTTTTTTTTCACCATATCGGCTCCGTAGCACATAAATTTGACAATAATCAATTCTTCTTCTGACTAATACTTTCCTAAATCAGTAATTATTTTATTAATTTTTTGTTTATTGCGGGAAACATCCACTATTCGTGACCAATATTCTGGAGAAAATATATAAGCAAACCTCCATGTCCGAGCTACGCAAATCCATATTTATAAATTCTAAATAAAATAAAAAAAATATATTAAAAAAAAAAAAAAATTAGTCACGTAAGAGATAAAGAGACCATACTCTGCCTTCTCCATACTCTGCCTTCACCTTTTTTAATACACTTTTATTAGTTCGGGATGTATGTATGTATGTATCGGAATCTTTGAACACTATTTTCAAGGGTTTCCAAATATCTGATAAGCTTATAACTTTACATACTTCTCAAGGACCGATGACAATGCAATAATTTGATAAAAAATTTAATTATCCTGATTAGGATCGTCAGGATTGATAAATTCTTTTTGTTTTAGATCCTCCGTAAAGGAGTAAGAGAGATAGAGCTAGCGCGATCTATGCATGCCTGCTGGACAAGCTTATGAAGCACTTAGTCGTGTAAGAAGAACCTTAGACGGTATTCGCATTGAAGAACATTATTGCTCAAAGTTAACAGGAAAAACCCCATGAAACAAAGGGGCCTTAAATGAAATAATGAGATTAAGAAAAAGTTCGTAAGATATACATGTCCGCAAAAATTTATTATTGGAAAATCGAACTAAAATACGAAAAATAACTTACAGCTTAGAAAATTAAAAAAAAACACGCATTTATAGGAAATATATAATAAATAATAGTTAATATTTCATCTTTCCAAGTGAACGGACGTGTTTTTTTCTTGCGCTCTCGTTTTGTATTAAAGATTGATTCTAACCAACGGGGTTAACTTTAAATTCCTAATTTGTGTTTATAACTTCCCGTTCACTTCGCGTGTGCATGCAGCTATTCTAATTTGTGTACATAATTGGGATTGATAATTGATGCACTACGGTCAGTACATTCAAGTGGTCCGTATGACACCAGGTACGTGCCTGTTTGGGTTAGGTGTTAGTAGGCGCGATAGAAAATATAGGACATAATACAAGGAAATTGACTACCGGCGTGCTGCCTGGTTGTTAGCTTGCATGTTTACTAAGTGTGTTAGAATTAAAGATTTTAGTTTGGGAAGAGTATCTACGTTAGAGATTAGTGTGAACAAATCATTATAATTTGCAGCTGACTCAACAAGTCAGCACTTTCCACATCACCATGGATAAGGTTAAAAATAAAGGTTATCCCTAGCATCGTTCTACGATTGGCTAAGGACGGCAAGTTTATTAATGGGAGTCTACTAGAGTAGGTAGGTAATCTTTGGTTTGCATCCCAATTTAAACCGCGTAGAGCGAAAAATAAAAAGTTCTTTTGAATCGACTCAATGCGTTTACTATGGACGCCGTACTGAGGGCTCCAAACGCAGCATCAATATTCTATGTAGGACGAACTAATGAAGTATACAAGGATTTAGTAACATAGGGGTCATTGAATTCCTTCGACCACCGTTTAATAAATCCAAGCACACCCCTGGCTCTATTCACCATAGACGAAATATGATCAATAAAGTCAAGTTTTGAGTCCAAGCGGACGCCAAATCATCAACAGAATTAATTCTTTCCAAAGAGCAGCAGTTCAGCGTGTAAGTAGCAAGCTTAGGAACGACACGAGAGAATGTCATTAGCTTGCATTTCGAGCCATTTAAGTTTAAAAAGTTTACAACGGCACCAAGTTTGAAAATTATTGTGATCTGTTTGTAAATCCGACTGGCAGGCAACGTCATTGTATTGCACTCCAAGCTCTGCAGTTAGTCAAGACTTTGGGCAGGTCATTTATAAATAATGTAAACAATAAGGGTCCCAAATGGCTTCCTTGCGGGACGCC